ATGGATGGGTGCATGTTTGGAGAGTAATGATGGGGTGACAACGTTGTTATATAATAAATCTGTTTCTTCCGGGATTTTGTTTATTTGTTTGAGGTTTGTGTGGGTTTGATGGTTGTTTTTTTTATTTTTTTATTTGGCTATAATACATTCAAGATAGAGGAAGGGCAATGAATTTAAAGAAAAAAAATGGTGTTCAGGACATACAGCACGAGTGGAGATTTTTGGGACTGAACTTACTTTTTAGTTCTGTGCACACAGCAGCTACCACAGACCACTGGGTCCACGAGCAGACTATAGAACATTTATATTTTGGGAGTGCTGCTCACACCCAGACAGTGTGAGAACTTCTCACTTGAAAGTACTCTTGAGATAAGCGAGCCAGAGATCTGTGAGCATAACACACTTCAGTGCCTCCAGCCCAGCAGTTTTCCTGGAAAACCATCCTGCTGAGAAATGCAGGAGAATTCTTTGCAGGCAGTGTTTCCAGAGCGATCCACTTCCAACAGCTGTTGGAACATTGGAAATGAGAAATGTATAAAAGACAGGTGAAAATTATATAACCTGTTCCTTTTGAAGAAAGCCTTCATGTTCCTCAGTGCACAAGAAGCTTCTTTATTGAAAGGCTGTGGCAGTAATGAAGAGTATTTCGTTCTTTTCATCTTGATAGAGATTTCTTGAGTATTAAAATAAAAGGCTGGTTTTAGGGAGGGGGAAGATAAAATTGCATCTAGGGAAACAGATTGCCAGTTGGCTCTGTAATAAAAATAATTTCTAAGTTTTTATCCCAGGAATAAGCAGAACTGGAGAGATTAAAGTGCCCTTTAGAGCACTTGAAAATGAAAAAAGTTTTTGCATTTTTTGGAGGTTTTTCTTAGGAATTTTTGAGATTTTTTTAGGGATTTAGGGATTTTTTCCCAGGAAATTTTTCCCAGGAAATTTGGGGATTTTTTGTGGATTTTGGGGGAGGGTGTTTGGATTTTTTGGGGGAATTTTTTTTTTATTTTTGGGGTTTTTTTGTGGATTTTTGGGGGCAATTTTTTTTATTTTGGGGATTTTTTTGTGGATTTTTGGGGGGATTTTTTTTGATTTTTTTTTATTTTGGATTTTTTTGATTTTTTGTGGGGTTTTGGGGGGATTTGTTTTTTATTTTTGGGGATTTTTTGTGGATTTTGGGGGGATTTTTTTTATTTTTGGGGATTTTTTGTGGATTTGGGGGGAATTTTTTTTGGTTTTTGGGGATTTTTTGTGGATTTGGGGGGGGATTTCATTTGGATTTTTGAGGGGAATTTTTTTTATTTTTGGTTTTTTTGTGGATTTTTTGGGGGGAATTTTTTTTTTGATTTTTTTGCCCAGCACCAGCACCCGTGCAGTCTCAGGGGGTGGCCCGGGGCGAGCCCCTCCCCCCTCCCGCAGGGGATCCCATCCTGGAAACTCCTCCAGGTGCCCCCCAAGGCTGCCCAGGTGACACAAAGGTGCTGCCACCTGCCCCAGGCTGGGGACAGTGACAGCGCCACCGTCTCGGGGGACAAAAAAATACCGAAATTGTACAAAATTAACCCAAAAAACCACATTGAAATAACCCAAATTATCCCAAAATTATCCCAAAAACCCCGCCCAGGTGACACCAAACCCGGCCCAGGTGACACAAATGTGCTGCCACCTGCCCCAGGCTGGGGACAGTGACAGAGCCACTGCCTTGGGGAGAGAAAAACCCCAAATTAAATAAAATTAAACCAAAAAACCCGGGACTGAAATAACCCAAAATTACCCTGAAATTATCCCAAAATTATCCCCAAAATTATCTCAAAATTATCCCCAAATTAGCCTGAAATTATCTCAAATTTACCCCAAAATTACTCCAAATTTATCCCCAAATTAGCCTGAAATTATCTCAAATTTACCCCAAATTTATCCAAAATTTTTCCCAAAATTATCTCAAAATTATCCACAAATTACCCTGAAATTATCTTTAATTTATCTTAAATTTATCCCAAAATTATCCCCAAATTACCCTGAAATTATCATGAAATGATACTGAAATGATTCTAAATTTATTCTGAAATTATCTCAAATTTATCCCAAATTAACCCAAAATTATCCTGAAATCATCCCTGAAATGATCCCAAAATTATTCCAAAAATTATCCCCAAATTTATCCTCAAATTATCCCAAAATTACTCTGAAATTATCTAATTTGCCCCAAATTTACCCCAAATTTATCCCAAAATTATCCCCAAATTACTCACAAATTATCCCCAAATTAGCCTGAAATTATGTCAAATTATCCCCAAATTTATCCCCAAATTATCCCCAAATTAGCCTGAAATTACCTCAAATTTACCCCAAATTTATCCAAAATTTATCCCCAAATTAGTTTGAAATTATCCAAAATTTATCCCAAAATTACCCTGAAATTATCCCTGAAATTAACCAAAATTTCCCAAATTTATCCCCAAATGACCCTGAAATTATCTCAAATTTACCCCAAATTATCCCCACATTACCCTGAAATTATCTCAAATTTACCCCAAAATTACCCCAAATTACCCTTAAATTATCTCAAGTTTACCCCAAATTTATCCAAAATTTATTCCAAAATTATCCACAAATTATCCCAAAATTTCCCTGAAATTATCCCTGAAAATACCCCAAATTTCCCAAATTTATCTCAAAATTTATCCACAAATTATCCACAAATTATCCCCAAATTACCCTGAAATTATCTCAAATTATCCCCAAAATTACCCCAAATTTATCTCAAAATTATCCACAAATTATCCCCAAATTAGCCTGAAATTATCATGAAATGATACTGAAATTATTGTAAATTTATTCTGAAATTATCCCTGAAATTATCCCAAATTAACCCCAAATTATCCCACAATCATTCCTGAAATGATCCCAAAATTATTCCAAAAATTATCCCAAATTACTCTGAAATTATCTAATTTATCCCAAATTTATCCCAAATTTATCCCCAAATTATCCACAAATTATCCCCAAATTAGCCTGAAATTATCTCAAATTTACCCCAAATTTATCCAAAATTTATCCCAAAATTAGCCTGAAATTATCCAGAAATTATCCACAAATTACCCTGAAATTATCCATGAAATTACCCCAAATTTATCCCAAAATTACCCTGAAATTATCATGAAATGATACTGAAATGATCCTAAATTTATTCTGAAATTATCCCTAATTAACCCAAAATTATCCTGAAATCATCCCTGAAATCATCCCAAAATTATTCCAAAATTTATCCCAAATTACTCTGAAATTATCTAATTTACCCCAAATTTACCCCAAATTATCCCGAAATGACCCTGAAATTATCTCAAATTTACCCCAAAATTATCCCAAATTAGCCTGAAATTATCTCAAATTTACCCCAAATTACCCCCAAATTATCCCCAAATTACCCTGAAATTATCTTAAATTTATCGCAAAATTACCCTGAAATTACCTTAAATTTATCCCAAATTTATCTCAAAATTATCCACAAATTATCCCCAAATTACCCTGAAATTGTCTTAAATTTATCCCAAAATTATCCAAAAATTATCCCAAAATTATCCCTGAAATTACCCCAAATTTCGCTAAATAAAAAATATATCAAAAAAACCCTTAAAATTTTAAAAAGGAAAATAAATTAAAAATAAATAAAAAACCAAAAAAAGCCCAAAAAGTGATGGAAAATGAAGAAAAAGTTCCAAAAAAGGAGGTGCTGGAAAGTGCAGCTGCCGTAAAAACTGCTGTAAAAACTGTCGTAAAAGGTGCCGTAAAGCGCGACTGTCGTAAAAGCGGCCGTAAAGCGCGACTGTCGCAAAACTGCCGTAAAGCGCGACTGTCGCAAAACTGTCGTAAAGCGCGACTGTCGTAAACGCGGCCGTAAAGCAAAACTGTCGTAAAAGGTGCCGTAAAGCGCGACTGTCGTAAAAGGTGCCGTAAAGCGCGACTGTCGCAAAAGGTGCCGTAAAGCGCGACTGTCGTAAAAGGTGCCGTAAAGCAAAACTGTCGTAAAAGGTGCCGTAAAGCGCGACTGTCGTAAAAGGTGCCGTAAAGCGCGACTGTCGTAAAAGGTGCCGTAAAGCGCGACTGTCGCAAAACTGCCGTAAAGCAAAACTGTCGCAAAAGGTGCCGTAAAGCGCGACTGTCGTAAAAGGTGCCGTAAAGCAAAACTGTCGTAAAAGGTGCCGTAAAGCGCGACTGTCGTAAAAGGTGCCGTAAAGCGCGACTGTCGCAAAACTGCCGTAAAGCAAAACTGTCGTAAAAGGTGCCGTAAAGCGCGACTGTCGCAAAACTGCCGTAAAGCGCGACTGTCGCAAAACTACCGTAAAGCAAAACTGTCGCAAAACTGCCGTAAAGCAAGACTGTCGTAAAAGGTGCCGTAAAGCGCGACTGTCGCAAAACTGCCGTAAAGCGCGACTGTCGCAAAACTACCGTAAAGCAAAACTGTCGCAAAACTGCCGTAAAGCGCGACTGTCGTAAAAGGTGCCGTAAAGCGCGACTGTCGCAAAACTGCCGTAAAGCGCGACTGTCGTAAAAGCGGCCGTAAAGCAAAACTGTCGTAAAAGGTGCCGTAAAGCGCGACTGTCGTAAAAGGTGCCGTAAAGCGCGACTGTCGCAAAAGGTGCCGTAAAGCGCGACTGTCGTAAAAGGTGCCGTAAAGCAAAACTGTCGTAAAAGGTGCCGTAAAGCGCGACTGTCGTAAAAGGTGCCGTAAAGCGCGACTGTCGCAAAACTGCCGTAAAGCAAAACTGTCGTAAAAGGTGCCGTAAAGCGCGACTGTCGTAAAAGGTGCCGTAAAGCGCGACTGTCGCAAAACTGCCGTAAAGCGCGACTGTCGCAAAACTACCGTAAAGCAAAACTGTCGCAAAACTGCCGTAAAGCAAGACTGTCGTAAAAGGTGCCGTAAAGCGCGACTGTCGTAAAAGGTGCCGTAAATCGCGACTGTCGTGAACTGTGACTGTAGTGAAAGCAGCACCGTTGAGCCGTGTTCAGCAGAGCCTTTGCACACAGGTGTTTAAAGCACTTTTATGGCCTCCCCCGCCGGGCCGTGGCTGCCGCGGGGCTGCTCCCAGCCCTCCGGCGCTACTCGAGCCCCGTTTGCTGCACGGGCGCTGCCCGCAGCCGCCGCCCCGCCGAGCTCCGCCCCTCGCCGCCGCCGTGAGTCCACAGCGGGACCCGCCCCCGCCTCCCCTTGGGACCGCACCGCTCCGGTACCCGCGGCCCCGCCCCCTCCCGCCACCGCCGCTTCTCCCCCGTTCCCCGCGAGTGCGGCCATTCCTCCTCACCCCCCCCCCCCCCCCCCCCGCCGACCCAGCGGGGCCGGTGCTGGCCCCGGTGCCGTCGCTGCTGCGTCTTTGCGGTTCCCTGCGGCTCCCGGTTCTGCGGCGCTGAGCGCGCCTGGCACAGCCACGCCGTGCCCCCAGCGCCCCCTGTGCGCGGTGCCGCCCCCCAACCCCGGCGTTCTGAGCTGCCCACGGGCCGGGCAGACGCTCACGGTTCACTGCCGGCGTTTCGCCGCCATCCCCCGCTCCCGGCACAGCACCGGTGGCTCCAGCCCAGCCTCTCCGGTGCCGCCGCCCCTGCCCGCCGGGCCAGCAGCCGCCCCAGCTCCCAGCGGCCGCCCGCCGCGCTCCAGCTGCCCGACCGGCCCGGCACAGCTCGCCGTGGCCGCCCCGCAGCCCCTCCCGCTTTCCGCCACCCCCCCCGGGATCATCTCCCGCTGACGGGGCCGCTCCGCCGCCGCCGCCGCCACCGCCGCCGCCGCCCGTGGTCGCTTCCCCGCTCCTGCCGCCGCCGCCGCTGCATGGAGGGGCGGAGCCGCGCCTTCCCCACCGCGGCGCTCCAGAGCGGCTGGACGGCGCCGCCTCCTGCAACCGCGGCCGTGCCGGCGTTCCCTTCCGCGGCCGCAGCCCCGTTCCCGCAGCCCCGCCGCCTCCCTCCCCCCCGGCCATGCCCCCCGCCGCTATCACGGCTCCCTCACGCCGCCTTAGAGACGCAGCGCGCGCGTATCCCACAGCGCCGCTTCCGGGATCAGCCACGTGCATGCGCAGTTCTATCTGCACGGCCCCGCAGCTCCTAGCAGTGAGTGGGACTACTTTCCCCCCGAAATCCCACCAAAATTCCCCCAAAACTTCCCCAAAATCGGCCCCAAACTCCCCCAAAATTTGCCCCGAAATTCTCCCGAAATTGTCTTCAAACCCTCCCAAAAATTGCCCCAAATTTGCCCCAAAATTCCCCAAAATTTTCCCCTCAAAATCGGCCCCAAACTCCCCCAAAATTTGCCCCCAAATTCTCCCGAAATTGTCTTCAAACCCTCCCAAAAATTGCCCCAAATTTTCTCCCAGTCCCCAAAATCACCTGAAGTTCACCCAAATTCACCCAAATTTCCCCAAAATTGGTGAGGTTCAGATGAGGATTCCAGGTGAGGGGTTCAGGTGACCTGGAATGCAGGAGGAGACTGCAATAACAGTTACACAGGTGACAAATAAAAACCAGGTACTGTATGATTAGTGATGCTCCAGAAACTGCACAAGAGGAAATTTTGAAGTCAGAAACCATTACTCTTGGAATTTTAATTGAGCAGATGAACACAGTGCTTGATGAAGGGTTTCCTGAGCTGCCAAGATTCAAGGCATGCTTACCTGCCCTCTATTTTGTTTTAAATGTGGTGTAGTTTATTTATAGGTTCAACTCTCCCTGGTGCCAGTACTGACCTGGGTGTTGGGCTTCAGTGGCTCACCGGTTTCTAATAATGTCTGGACATCTTGCTGCCAGGTGCATTGAAAACAATATTCAAATAACTCTATTTCTTCCAGATCCCTGTGCCTGCTGTTTCCATCTCACTGATTCTCAGTGCTACCCCATCAGTGACTCACTTAGACTCTGGTTCTCAGGAGTGAGAAGCACATAGCTCTTTTCACTGACCAGACCCAGTTTTGTGCAGCTCTTACCACGTGTGGGAATGGCTCTGAGAGGACACTGTGCTGATCTCCAATTCTCTCATGAAATTTTTATTGATGCTAATGGATAGCATGCATGTGGTAGCTCTGCTAAAACCAGGGCTAAGTTAAGCAGCTATTTGTCTTGTACTGTCAGTTTATGCCAGTGTATCTGAGCCCTTTGTGTGATGAATGGAATGGATTGAGGCTGCAGCTTTCTGGGGATCACCCAGGCTGCAGACAAAGAGTACAGTGTATTAAATCACTGCTTGATTGCTCCTGAGAGTTGTTCATTCCCAAGCAGATACAAGGGGGAATTACCAGCAGACACTGCCCCAAGCTTCTTCAGAAATCTTGATTTTCTCCATGGTCAGAGTGACACCATAACAACTGAGTTGGTGCTTGAGTTGAACACTGATGGGTGCCTTGGCTGTCTGACACAAAACCACTTTGATGTTTCAGGGTCAAAAAAAGGTTCTTCCTTTCTGCTGCTACTCCTCTGCAGTGTATTAAGCCAGCTGATGTCAGCTTCCTGAGAAGGAAAGAAACTCTTTCCAGACCCACACAAAAACTGACCCTTGGGCAAGGGAAAGCTAAGGTGTCTGTAAGAGCAGGTGTTCAGAGCATGTAGATGACTATTTGTGGCATCCTTTTCAAAGTTTGACCATCCATTTTTACATTTTGATCACTATATTTTGACTGATTTTCTGTTATGCTTATAGGATAACCTTTAAAATCACAGATTCCAAACAACCTTGCAAAATGACCATAAGAATGACAAACTTCCTATGGAGTAAGTAACAAAAATGAAGCCCTAGGGCAGGCTCACTTGAGACACTGACCTTTTGAAAAAGTGTTTTTCTTTCACATGAAATGTACTTCTTCTTTTATTTTCAGGAGAGATGACAAGAGAAAAAACTGCAGTATTTTATTGTTCTATAATTTATTTTTCTATGATTTTTTGCCTTTATAAAACAAAGTTAAATTTAACGAGCTTTAGATCTTAATTTTATATTTCAGATTGAGAATCTAATTTTACTTCAAATGCTTTTTTTTTTAATGTGGTTCCTCTCATTAGGTCTTAAAAGGGCATACTAAGCTCTCAGGAAAAGGGTCTAATTTCTGAAACTAGCAGTCAGTCACATGCCTTCAAATATTCTCCTTCTGCATTATTCAAAACACCTACAGCTGAGTGTGTAACTTAGGCAACCTGGCTTGATATTGAATAACGTAGTCACTGCCGTGGCACTCGGAAAGATGTCTGTACCCAGTAAATGCTACTTTTGTCTGTTGTCTTGTTGCTTGAGGGATCACAAAAAACTAGCCTGAGTACTACATTTTATTTCCCAGAAAGTATATGATTTGGATATGTGTTTACGAGTTTCTTGGTTGCTTCTTTTCTTTTCCTCTGCCTTTGTTAATAACCTCAATACATGCTTAAAGCCTACCATTAATTGCTATTGAAGTGCATTTAATCTGAAGCAAAAGTTTCTGCTATTTAAGTCTCTTGTCAGGAAACCAAGTATTAGAGTTGTTTGGGTTCTTATTTCCGAGGCTGTTTAATGACAGCATAAATATTCAGCCTGACTCTGATTAGGTAATTAAAGCTGACTCCTGGCCAGATGTTCCCCTTTGTTGCCTGGCATGGAGCTGAGGGAAGAGCAGGAAGCTGCAATTCCAGCACCCCTGTCCCACTGCACGCTGTCCTTGCCTTTGGGAATTGTGCGAGTTACTGAGTGTCCCCAAGGACAGAAGGTTTCTCCCATGTGGGCAGAGGAATGAGCTGCTGTCCCCCTGTCCCAGCGTGCTCCTTCCGTTTAGAAAATCCCGTTTGTGCAGCTGATTTTGGGAGGCAGGAGAAATGAGTTCTGCATTTTCCCTGCATGAGACAATGGGATTTCAGGATGAGACAGTTTTTTAAGTGTGTGCAGGGTGGTGAAGGCTTTTGAGATGAGTCAGGTGTGCAGATGTGAAGATATTTACAGTTTTAACTTCTGTGCCACACCTTCAGTCCTCAGAGGCAATAAAGCTCACAGGGAGCAGAGCAAATGCCATGAGAGCAAGAAACCAGGGATCAAATAGAGGGAGGTGCTGAGAGGCACCTGCAGTGCTGGAGGCTTTGCTTCAAAATTCCACCGTCCTCAAGGGCTTCACAGGGATCCCACCTTGTGTGAGCAACAGCTTTGGTGAGGAGACTTGGGAGAACTTTGGGTGGATTTTACACTGTCCTGAATATCAGTGACCTCCTGAGCTCAGGAGTCAGCAAGGACCGAAGCTGTGCTTGGAGTGAATGCCCTTATTTATTTCATGTGAAATACTAGCACTGATTTCAAAAGATGAATGGCTGCTGAGGCTGGAAAATAAAGGAGAATTACACCAAGAAGCACGGGTGGACAAGAGGAAGAACCTGTTCTGGCTTCAGGATTGTTCGTGGGAGGATACCAGCCTTATTTTTATTCTCTTGTGTTTGTAATGGTTTGTTACTTAGTTTGGAAAACTCTTAAACTTCATCCTGGATCGAGTGACAGTAGGGGTGTCTCTCTCCCAGGTCCTGGAGACAAGTAGCTCAAAATCACTGGAAACAAGAAGTTCTTGGCCTGACAGCACTTCAGAACCATGTGGGAGAGCTCACTCCGAAGACAAATATAAAGAATCCCATGCCGTACAAGCCACCCCGTAATACATGATGCCAGGGAACCCGTTCACGATTTCTGCCTGTCCGGGTTAGCTGTAGCCACACCCGTGACAAGCGGGAGAACAGCTGGGGTAACCTCGGCAGCCTCCTCACGCTCCATCTCTGCAGGACCCCAGCACCCTCAGCGGGGCTGAGCCGGGCCGTCACCTCCGGCCACAGACAGGGGTCTCTTTCTGCGGCTGTCACCGCGGAGGGCTTTCCGCTTCAGCGGCCGTGAAATCCGCATCTGGGGCGGGCCGGCCCCGGCAGGCGGCCCCCCCGCCGGTGCCGTCCTTGTGCGGCTGCGGAGCGGGCGGGGAGGGGCGGCGCAGCCCCGCAGCCGGCGCGGGAAGCCGTCAGCGCCGGGCCGGCCGCGCAGCCTCTCCCCCTCGGCTCCGCACCGGCCGCAGGAAGGCGCAGCGGGGCGGGGACTCCACGAGCGGCGGAGCCTCCCCCGGGGTGGGCAGCGCAGCTCCGCCGCCGGCCCGTGCCCCGGCGAGCGCGGCGGGAGCGGGCCATGTCGGAGGCGGAGAGCGGTGCCGCAGGTGAGGGGGCCCCGCCGCAATGCAGGAGCGCTGCCGGCTTCCCCCCGGTTCATGGGGGGAAACGGTCCGGAGGCGGAGGGAGCCCCGTCCGGAGCAGGGGAGGCGGGAGGCGGCAGACAATGTCCCGGCTGCGGCCGCGCGGGCGGGGCAGGGCAGGGCAGGGCCGGGCCGGCGGCCCCGCGGTGCCCGGCTCGGGGGATGCCCCGCGGGCAGGGCCGGCTGCGGGAGGCGGCGGCTCGGTGCGGAACCCCCGCCCGCCGGGCAGCGCCGCCGCTCCTCCACGTGCGGTGCGCGGGGAGCCGGTGCCGCACCGCGGGGGGACCCAGGTGACAAAACAATGCGGCGGCACGGCCGGGCGGCGGCGAGGCGGGGCGGGCGCCCTGGCCGGCGCCGGGCGCTGCGGCGGGCGCGGCATCCCCGCCGGACGGGCCTTTGTGGCTCCCTCCTCCCCGCGGGTCGGGGTCTCTCCCTTTGCCGGCAGCGGCCAGAGGGAGGAGGGCTCGGACCGGAGCTCAGGGGCTGCTGCTGACATAGAGGCAGCTCCCCTGTATAGCGAGAAGCCTGATGCACTGGAAAAGAAAGACCTGGCAGCCGGGTGGGAGAGACGGCGCTGTCTGGCTGAGCGCCTGAGCATCCTGGCGCAGCCCCGGGGACCGGGCAGCTCCCTGCGAGGTGTAGGGGTGGGGAAAGCCCCAGCGGTGCCGTTTTACCACGTTAAGGGGGCCACATGTCTCTGGTTCTGCAGACTTGACTCGAGCTGAGCTGAATCTTATTTTGCCGGAACAAGGATGCTGTGGGTTTGATCCGTTTGGGGTTACCCTGACCGATAGGAACAACACAGCCTTTGCAGGACGGGGTGGGCTCTCCTTGTGTGGGAAGGGAGCTGG